AGGGTTTTCAAAGAGCTGTAGTTCAAGTACAAACCCAAATCTCTCTTGGTTTCATCCAGCACAGCTCCTCCTTTCTCAGGATGAATACAGGATGGCTTGCCTGGGAAAGAGGCTGTGATGTTTTATTTTACCAGCATCTTTTCCCTAGAATCAGTTCTCTCCCGGGCTGCTGCTCGTCCTGGAGCCGGAGGGTGCTTTCTGGTCATCTGTTTGTATTAAAAAGAAAATAACAAAAGTGACCCAGGGATGATGCGAGGCTGAAATCACTAACCTTTGTGAAGGGCTGTGAGATCCTGGGTTGAAAAGCGCTATGGAAGCGCAAAATATTGACAGCAGTAGTTTGCTGCACCGTTGTGAAATACATTGTGTTTACCTCTCTGAACGCCGATCGCCCAGCCAACGACCAGGTAGACCACAGTGGAACAAATGTGGCTTGTCGTGCTGCTCTTGCTAAGATCCAGAACTCCTGGGGCATTGTACGCTCTACTGAGCATGACCTCTGGGCAGCTGGGAAAGAGTCATTTTCTAGTCTCAGGCTATGAGCATATACATTCTCAATTTACAAAAAAAAAACCAACCCACCCAGAATCAATGCTTGTTTATCAGGCAATCCATAGTCTGTTATGTTTGGTGGTTATGAACATTTAATTTATTTCTCTCTAGCTTCGGAGTTGCCCAACATGAAGGAGTGTTTCATTAAACAGGAATTGATTTTTCATACCACACTAATACTTTTTCCCTTTTGCCTTCATATGAAAAAAAGAACCCAGACACCAAAATAATTATTAGAATTGACACCTTCTGAGCTCAGGCAGAAATGTCAGTCACATTTGGATCTGTTTATTAACTGACTTAGAAATGGAATGACTAAGGGATGGGCTAGCTGTGGCGATTTGTAATGGGCTGTGGTGCTCTTCAGCTGTAGGTTGCTGGTTCGATTCTGGTCCATGCTAGTAGCTCTTAGCAGTCTTTAGACTGAGAGGACTGTCTGCTGATCCTTGTGAAATGAGTTTGTTGTGTCAGGCTGGCTCTGAGTGGATGTGTCTGCAGCACACTGGCTGTCACCACAGCAACTTGGTGTGAGCTGGCAGTATCATCAGAGAGGTGAGAAACACAGCATAGCCAAGGCCTATAAAAGTGACTAGTGATTTGGGGTATCCAACTTGAAACACCCTAAAGAAGCCTGATTGTGCCACAGTGCTGAGTACCCAACCTCTGAAAATCAGGCCCTTTCGTTTGTCTCAAGTGAGGCATCCCTGAACGCCTGGTCGCTTCCGAAAATCTTGGTGAGTGGGCATTGAACCTGTGCCTGTCGGTGGACATACCTTGTCATCCTGGAGGAATGTGGGCTGCAGATGGAAGCGGCTACAGCCCCTCTGCGTGACTTCCCCAATCTAGCCTCCTCATCTTATATTGTCCTTGGATCATTGTCTCTAATCTCTCCCCACCCCCAGTACCCATTTCTAAGGAGGGTTGGAGATAGGTCAGAGCCCCTTCAGGGTTATTCAGTTGAATCGACAACGTACTAGTGAATAAATGCAGATGACCGTGCCTACAAGAGCTTGTCAACACTGCGTAGCCTTGGCTGGTATAGCTGTGCCAGCAGGGCTCCCTAGTAGAGATCCTGCATACGCTGGCAGAGAGAACTCCTTTGCCAGCATGGCTGTACTGTCTCCCCGAATGACTTTTCCTATGCCAACGGAAGCACTCTTCTATTAGCATAGTTGTGTCTACAGGGGTTTGGGGTTTTTTTTGCTGATACAGATATGTCAGCTAGGGGTTGTAATTCTTCAGTGGAGGTCCTGGCAGTTTCCATGATGTATCCCCCATATGAATAGGTATGACAGGAGTTGCCTGACATGCACATTAGGATGCTACATAGTTGTAAGGCAGGAGGCGAACTCAGATCTTGTGCTGATTGTGACAGTGAAAGAAAGCCTGGCAAACGGATAATGAGAGGGAAAGCAAGCCATCAGCTGAATGAAGGGATGAATATTTACCACAGAGCCCATTCAAAATTAAGTCATGGCAAATGAATTTTTAAATTGGATTCTTAGAGTTGAGTACAAATGGTTAATCTCCTAGTTCCAGAGCCTGTGGATCCAGAAGCTAAGGGATTGACCTGCATTGCCCAAAGTGAAATAGTGTAAGAGTTTGCAATGACCTAGCCCTGGCTATACTGTATAAGCTCTAGGCTCATAGTGTTGGAATGATATTTGTCCCAGCTGTTGTTCCATTTGGTTACAATTTTAGTTTGCTTCTCATGTCCCCAGGTGTAGTATCCCATTTGTATTTAGCATCGCTTGTCTCCTGTCCTGTACGCTTACTTTACTGTCACACATCACAAGGCATTTCTGTGTGGTGTCTTTCGGCTTGAAGGACTGTCAAGAGGCTGTTACTGGCAAGAATCCTAATAAAATACAGCATGTTTAGAGGAGGCAAACCTATTCCCTGACTGGTTTGTTTTAAATTGGTGTGTAATGGCACATGTCTGTAAGGTCCCTTTTCATTCCTCTGACCCCCATGAGAATATACAATATTTTTTCTGTATGACAGCAGTAGCAAAGGAAACCAGAAGATTGCCCTGCTGTAAAAGTAGCAGTGGATAATAAAACGGTCATTCCGCAAGGAATCCCCACCAGTTCATGAAGAAAATCACATTGTTAATGAATCACTAACCCTAATAATTAGAGGGGCCATGTGGTTAGTGAAGAGGGGCACTGGACTGGGAATCAGGAGACCGGGGTTCTAGTTCTGCTGCTAGCCTGCTGTGTGACCATGAGCAAGTCACTTCACTGCGCTCTGCTTCAGTTTCTCCTCCTACTGTTTGTCAGGCAAATTTTTCAAAAGAGCCTAAGTGACTTAGGTGCTTTTGAAAATGATACTTAGGCTCCTAAGGCATATAGGCATTTAGGAAAATGTTACCCATCTCGTCTTTTAGATGTTAAGTTCTTCAGGAACTGTCATTGACATTCCCACTGACTTACATGGAGCAGCTTGCAGAACTGGGATATGTGTAAGGTTCTTGGGTCAGTATGTGTACGTGTAACAGGGCGGTCTGCCCCTTTAAGGGCCAAGGGGTCTGGGACCCACTGGCTCTGTTTGATTATTAAAACCCAACTGGGACGGGTCAGGTGATGCCTATAAATTGAGGAGCGAGCTCAGCCAGAGGGGGAATGGCAGGAGGGAAGTTATCCGCTGAATCATGCTTGGGAAGTGTTTTCTTTTCACTGGCGCTTGATCAGATAGTACTGTGGAACATCACATTGATATTTGACAAAAGTCTCCGTCTAATCACATTCAGACAATTAGCACAACTTCTGCAATCAGATTGTGCACTGAATTGAAAACCTGACACACAACCCCATGGGAAATAAAGGTGGCTATGAATAAAGGATCTAGGATGGTTCACATATGCCTGCTGCATGCTAAAAAGATACGGGTCAGATCAAAGGGTGCTTGTTTGGGTGCTGTTAACTTAGGGGGTGGAATAACTAAGAGTAAACCTAGCTCTTAGACTGGGCTTTTCATCCATAGTTCTCAAAGTGCTTTACAAAGGAGTCCGTATTGTTATCTGTATTTTACAGATGGGGAAACTGAGGTACAGGGAGGGGAAATGACTTGCCCAGGGAGGCTAGTGGCAGAGCCAGGAAGGGAGTCCAGTACTTCTGAGTCCCAATCTAATGCCCTATCCACTAGATTACACTACCTCCATCACTATGGCATTTTAATCTCTAATAACGTGTGTCTGCGCATAGTTATTTATTCAACTCCCATTGAAAGTGAGAGGGGACTAACTAGGCCAATGGTCTGCTGCAGAAAAGAAAACCCCCGTGTCCTTTCCTAACTGGATGAAGGAATAGCTGGAATTCACACAATCTCGCCAGTTTTTCATGGTTCCACCAACGTACTGTAAATTGGTGAGTGATCAATTGTTCACCGTCCCAGCCCCTAGGGTTTGGAACCTGCTCTCCCTAGGTAGCTGTCCCTGTCAGCCTCTTCCCACTATTAGCAACAGTCTGAAAACACATCATCTCTTCTATTCATAAGTTATACCATGCCCATCACGGCAGGATCTTTGTTAGAGGTGAATTTTAATCTTACCTGTGTTTTAATAGTGGATGCAATTCTTTGAGCTGTCTTTATACAAGAGCTCAGGCTAGAGGATCATGATGATCCCTTCTGGCTTGAAAAATCTATGATTCTATGAATATTAAATGTTTGGGCAGCTCCCTGGGTGCCTTGGTTGGTGTGCTGGTACCCTAGAGATAAAATCACCATTATTATTGAAGGGCAGAACTTGTCAAAACATTTCCAGCAGAATGATTTTCCCTTGGACGATGCTGGTTCAATGAAACTTTTGCGCAAAGTATCAATGTAAATTAAATTTGACCCCAGAAAATAGAGACATCTTGTTTCAATAAGATCAAAGCGTTTCGTTTCAACTTCATCATTTCAGCTTTTATATTTTGTTAAATTCATTGTATTCTAATTATTTTTTATTTTGGTTTTGCAGGAAATTTCAGAATTTCCACTTTTGTTCTGATTTGGGATGAAAGGAAATTTTGAAATGTTCTGCACAACCGAAATGTTGAGTTTGACCAGCTCTACCGAGACCGCTCTGTGAAACACTGCCCCTTGCAGAGTAGTATTCATTCTTGTATTTTCCATAGGATGTATCTACTGGGGGGGTGGGGAGTGGTGGGGGGACACAAATTCACACAAAGTTTCCCGGGTCTGACGTTCCACCAAGTGGAGGGCAGAGGTGGGAGAACCAACAATAGAGTACTGTGTATGTCAGTGGTTGCCAAGCTATGCCCCATGGACCACCAGTCATCTACCGGGCCCTTTCTGGTGCTTTGCAGAATAGACCAAGGATTTGGGAACTGAGAGGAGGATGAGTCCTGGAGAGGATCATGAAGTGATCGGCAGAATGAAAGAGCTGGACCGCCACTGATACTGATTATTTTCATGTCCTTGGTTTCTCTTTTCTATCCCAGAGTCCGCACCTTCCCCAAAGCATCCCACCTGGGCCATGACACGGTCCGCGCCCTCATGTACTATGCCCTGAAGGTCTGGAGTGACATCACCCCGTTGAATTTCCACGAAGTGGCGGGTAACAATGCTGACATACAGATAGACTTCTCCAAAGCAGACCACAATGATGGGTATCCCTTTGATGGGCCTGGCGGCACGGTAGCACATGCTTTCTTCCCTGGAGACCATCATACCGCAGGAGACACTCATTTCGATGACGACGAATATTGGACTTTCCGATCATCAGGTACGTCAGAGTCCGAGAGTTGGAGCAGAACTCATGAACTCCCAGCCTCTCCCTTTGTAAATGTTTAAGTCTCTGTTATGACCACCCTTTGGGTTTTGGGGTCCTGTGCACATCTCTTGGGGCCCCAGAGACCTCTGTTTGCTCCCTTATGTCCCCAAAGGCCAGTAACATTTTTGTCCAAGTCAGGGAGGAAACTGTGGTAACGTTTTCCCGTTTCTCCCCATAATCCCTCACTTGCCACACCTACATAACCCAGAGCTCCCATCTGCCACTCCCACAATCCCTGTGTGGCTCCACCCTGCTGCTCCCTGCCCTGGAGTCTCTGAACTAGTAAGTGATGAAGTTGGTTGGGCTGCCTTTGAGTTCACAGGGCTCCTCAACCCTGCTCTGTGGAGGCTTCGGTGGCAGAACTGAGAGTCCTATGGCACCAGTGCTGGCGTGCAGAGACCAGCTAAGGGGAAAGCCAGAGCACACGTGTTCTTCCTCCACAGCTGCAACTCAAGCCCTGCTTCCAGCCAGTGAGATCTGTAGGGATCTGCTTGCAAAGCCCATCAGCAACACTCCTACACTGCGGAAGGATGAGGAATAAATAGGAGCCCACTGAAAAATAGCTGTTGCCCACTCACTTCGCCGCTCTACCTTCCAGTCCTGCTCTCCCAGACAGACTTTGCCTTCAGGTTCACTCCTGCTCTTCCCCTCCTAGCTCCACTAGGCACCTGAATCTCCTCTACCTACTGTCATCAATGTGCACTTGTGCAAAATGGGCATAAAATGCTACCAGGTCAGAAGGTTGCTTTCCCGCCTACTTTTCACAGGTGTCAATGAAGGCACGAGATGCATGGCAGTGGGAAATGGTCCTTCACTGACTCTGCTGCTTTGCCACACCTCAGATAGAAGAGTTCAGGTCCCAAGGATTCTGCCCCAATCACCCTGACTATAGGGCAATCAGCTCCCCACAGCCCCCCCACTAGTTGGTGCAGAGCCAGGTTAGGCTGAAGTCTGCTGTTCTCAATGTCCAATAACCAGCTGTCCTGCTCCCAATAAGAGAAGACAGGGCAACGCCAGCTGTGGCTTAGAAACAAATAATACTCTCTGCCCTTAGGAAGCCAGGGAAAAGGACCACCAGCACCACCACATTAAGGCATTTACCTTAAGGCAATAAGAAGTTCCACTTAACATGCAGTTTCAGCCTTTCAAGCCAGCAGCCCAGTTTCAGGAGCTAGAGAACTTTGAAAAGCAAAGCTGTGCAGGCCGGCGTGGCAGGCCGGAGATCTCACAAGCTCCATCTTGGTTGGATTTTGACAGAATGTGACTGCTCCAGTCATCAGCTGCTAATTTTCTCGTCACACCACCTCTCCTGCCGACGTCCCAGTGGTGTCTGCTGCCTGGGTTTAATAATTTCATTTAGACCTAATCTTCCTTCTTGAAATTGACTAATATTTTCTCTCTCTCTCTCTGTCTCTTTTTTTGTTTTTTGGGGGTTTTTTTTTGTTTGGTTAATCTGATTTCTCTCTCACCCTGCACCTCTCTGTCTCCACCTTCAAAAATCAGGACCCCCAGGAGAAAGGACCTGGCTACAAAGAATGTGAAAGCTGACCATATTCCCCTTTCAATGCTGCATCTCCCGTGGCGAATGTTACTATGGCAACCTGATTTTCAAACCTCCCCACCAAAGCTGCCTTACAGCAGGCTCCCCTCTCCTCTTCCCCTTGCACGCTTTTTTGCACCCAGCCCTTTACTCCAAACAATTGGTTGTTCACCGGCCTCTTTCTCTTGCCCAGCCCATACTCAGACTGGGTCATGAAGGCAGCCCTGTGGACACATGCACTGACAGCCTCCCAATCCACTGGGCCAAGCCACTTGAGACCCCAGACAGCTGTGCTGCAAGCTGTGGTGGTGTGGGCAGCTCCTGCGGGACCCTTTATGCTTTTCCGTAAGGGGAACTGGGCAAACAGCTGAGATTTCAAGACTGCTAGTCAGGCAGGACCACCTGCTGCCCCCATCAGCCACAGGGTGCAGAAGCTGCTCCAGAACAGCCATGTCCTGTCTGACTCTGCTGTGATACAGCTGCTAATAAAGGCAACCCGTGTGGAGCCTGCGACTCTGTGTCTCGGGACAATGAACCTGAGGCCCTCCAGTGTCCCTGTCCCAGTATTGAACAAAGTCCTTACATTGGCCTTGTCTATCCAGGGGCCCCAGAGCTTCAGGGCGGTGCCGCGCTAGGTACAGCGGGGGGGGATATCCAGCTGGCAGTGACGCTGGCTCTGCCAGATAGGGCAGTGCTGGCAGTGTGGTATCCGTCAGCTGGTGGATATCCCCAGCCGCTCACTGTTGGAATTAAACGAAGGTACTTTGGCCCAACGCTGTAGCAAAAGCACTTCCTGTCTGTAAATGTGTGGACCACTGCGGGCCGTCTGATCAGAGACTGCCTCTCCCAGGGAGCTGCCCGCTGATCTCCTGTAGACGCTTAGTCTCCTGCTCCAACCATTCGACCTCACTCCCTCACACTGACACACATGGGCATGTTGAAGTAGACGCCTGAATGCCCACCACCGCCGAGAGCGTGATGAGCATGCAGTGTTATGTTGATGTTGATGATGACTTTATTTTCAGATGCCCATGGGATGGACCTGTTTGCCGTGGCAGTCCATGAGTTTGGCCACGCCATCGGCTTGACCCACATCTCTGCCTTAGAGTCTATCATGAGACCCTATTACCAGGGACCGGTGGGGGATCCCCTGAAGTATGACCTGCCTTACGAAGACAAAGTCAGAATCTGGCAGCTATATGGTTAGTTCATGAGTGGGTTTACGCTTCACTTCATCAGCAGTGGCTCGCAGAGACAGCTCTTCTAGAGGATGCACTGTCTGGCTGGTGGGGGTGGTATGCCCTCTAATGCTTTCTTGTCTTTATTCCTAGGAGTCAGGGATTCTGTGTCCCCAACAGACAAGCCTGAAGTAACCAAAACTGACGACCACCCCCTTCTGCCAGAGCTGCCAGAGAACCGCTCCACTGTGCAGTAAGCAGAACTGCCACCAATGTCCTTGTGAAGAGTCACCTGAAGCATGGGTGTCTTCTCAGACCAAGGGGTGGATACTTCCCCTCAGCTGTGGTTTCAGCAGGGAGTTAAAGCCAGAAGAAGTGGGCAGAGGGGTGACTCCAATACATGTCCCCTCCCCTCCCAAATCATGGCTAGTTACCAACCATGGGGATGGGGATTTTCAGATTGGGAAGGGGGGGAACCAAAGGAGTGATCCCTACATACAGGGCTCACTCTCATGGGGACCCACTAGGTTTTTGAGTGTAGATTCTGAGTCCAGCTCCAGAACAGACTTGTTTGCTTGCTCAGGGTAGATGTGTGAAGTGCAGAGGCTCCTAGCAAGAACCTTTGAAGACTCATGTGCGGTGCTTTCCCCAAGAGGTGCTAATTCTTCCAGCCTGGGAACCGCTGAGGTCGAGCTCATTCTGGCCACTGGTGTCCTGTTTGCATTCTTTGTTACTACCAATCTCTGTGTCATGTGGGTCCAGAAGAGTTAAAAGTGGCCCAAGGGTAAAACCAGTGTGGTAAGAAGCTCAATGAGATGTTAATTCGGGACTAGAACATAAATAAGGAATTTAGGGTGTGCTGGGGGATTTTGTAGAAAAAGGAAAAGTGCAAATTCTGAGCTACTTATTAAGGAAAAAGGACAAGATGAATGTCATTCTTCTGTGTTAGACATAGTATCCAAAACCTCCCCTATGCTTGCATGTGTGTGGTATTTTTATTTAAAGAGCTGTCTAACTGGCAAAGGCCCACATCCACAAAGCTAAATTTTGGCCCCTAACATCCATTGATGTAACGTAAGTTATCCTTTTGGATTTGGGCCAAAGCTTATATTTCATTTTGGATTTTCAGAAAGTGCTGAGCACCCACCATCTGAGAACTGGAGCCCTTTACGTTTTCTCAAGTTGGGTACCCAAAATTGCTAGTCACTCATGAAAATCTAGGCTTTATTGTATGTATTTCAAACAAAAGGCACTACAAGAGAAATAAGGGAATTTTCTTTCTTTTTCTTTCTTTCTAACAAATCCCAATGAACCACATTCTGTCTTGGTGTAACTGCCTAGACTTCAGATGACTTACTTCTACCAGGAATGAATTTGGCCTACTATGTGTCGAAATCTCTTCATGATGTTTTTAATTAAATGAAACCGTTTATTTTATGTATGAAGCATTTCTCTTCAATGTTGGCAGCTACACTGGGAGAATCAGATCATGAAACTCACTGGAAAGAGTATGAAATTGACAAGTCTAGTTTCACACTCTTAAGTTGGGGGAAGAGCAGAGCCGTAATCGAAATAGCATCAGGGTGAAAAGTCAATTACACTTTTAAAATTCTTTAATTTTAACGATTGAAGATGTTGCTAGTAACTCAGGTAGAGGTTGTTTTTAAAATATATGGGGCCAGATGCTCAACTGGCATAAATTAGCATAAATCCATTGACTTCCATGGGGATACGCTGATTTTATACCAGCGGAGGATCTAACACAGGATTTTAATTTTGACAAGTGTCTCTTGAATAATGAATAGGCAGAGGAGTAGATAAATCTATGAGCAAGACAGCTCTGGGCAGCATATCAGGGGCACGGAAGCCTTCTCTCTGCTGGTAAAATCCACTCAGAGTTCATGAATTACGATTATGCAGCTGATGCAACCCAGCATGGCCTCAGGGGCTTCGTTATATTTGGAGGGTCCCTTGGATAATTGAAGTGCTGTCTTTAGGATTCTGCTTTGTTCCTTAGAAGCAGGGAGATCATTGGAAGCACGCAAGGATATTACTTTTTTTTTTCTCCGTGAGGATGAGCAAGAGGCTGTCCTGGGTAGGGCCTTTCTATGGAGAGTTTCTTGAATGCTGGTAGGGCTGTCAGATTAGGGGAATGTGGGCAAAATGTGTTACTTAGGATGTGCCCTGCAATGGGATAATTCCATCAATTTACTGACCCGGGTCAGAATCGTGCAGTGGGCTCTTCCTGATAAAGCCCCCAAAAGGTAGGGTTAAAAGTCTGAAAGCACAAGGAGGTTCATACTGGGAGATTTCATCCTCCTCACAGTGTGGGTGGGCTGGGTGCTGTATTGTTCGTGTTTAGTTAGATACCCTCTGCAAAGCTGTCGTCATAATGGGCTCGTACATTCCTTCCCTCTCGGCATTTAAAGCAAATCCCTTGCAATGTTTTGTGTGTGTGCGAGCCATCCTCTAGTGATTGAACCACAGAGAGGATAAGGGATCTACTACTATTAGCAAAGGGAATTTTCGTTCAGGTCAAGTGGTAGAGGTCTATGTTTTTGGAGCTGAAGGACAAGGGTTCTAATCCCAATTCCTCTGGGGCAGGTGTGTTGTCAGAAACACAAAGATTTGTTAAGTTTCTCATGGCACAATTGTATCAGTTGTGTTTGTTGCCGTGATGCTTTGAAAGAAGGGAGCTGGCTCTTCCCCTTGGCCACACAGCACTGTATTGCTAACGTGAAATCTGTTTTATGGAGTCGAAGGGTGCTCAGATACCATGGTGAAGTCTTGATTGGGCTTAGACATGTGGCTGGCATATTACGTAGGGAGAAGTTGAGAAGGATGGTGCCGGCAGTCTGATATGGAGTTCTTCTAAAGGCAAATTAGATTCATGCTTCCCTGTCACGGAGAGCAGCTGATCTGTATACGGTTCACAAATCCTTTCCTTGCTCTCTAGCAATCATTGTACAAGGGCTTCGTTATTCTTTCAATTCTTCATACTCCCTGTGGTCCCACCATACACCTTGTTAAAACAGGATCTCAGCCAGGCTAGTCACTATCTGGGCATTCACCATCCGGCCCCTCACCCCCTTTGTTTGGTTTCTGTTACTGCCTCAGGGTGCAGCTGTGACCCCCAGCCACTCAGAGTCTACGTCAGGAGTTCCTGTGTGCTGAAGTCACTCATGTCAGCCTGTGTGTGTTTTGTTCAGCAAGTATCTTGCTGCTCCCATGCAGGGGGCCCAGATGGGCTCTCAGACACACCACGGTGACACTGGAGTAATAGCTTCGTCTGCCCTGGAGTTCCTCTGGCTTTCCAGAGTGTTACGGAGAGCAGAATCTAGCTCCCCATCTCCTTGGCTCTTGGTAACAGTCTCACATAGAAAATGGGAGAGGGGGCGGGGGTCTGCCGTGGATTCGTTTTGTAGAGAACACTGTCTTAAAGCAGCCGTTTGTCCAGAAAAGCTTTGCAGAGCCTGTGCCTTGGAAAACCCCCTGTGCACAAGGCTGGGTTCACAGCAGGACTGATTTGGGGGTGGGAGCGGGGACCCGCCAAACTTTAGGCCTCTGTGACCTTCTGCATCATTCCTAGCTACATCCATGTCCCATTGAACCCCTCCATCTCAATGGCCCGGGGCTGCAGATCCCAGTTCTGCGTGCACTGGGGAATTGGTTTCAGCCAGACGAGCCAGTGCAGTGAGCGGTAGGAGAATTGCTGCTTGCCTGGGGGAGCAGTGCTCGGTCCGGGGGAGCTGGAGAGCCCTGCTCCTGGCTGTGGGGGTAGGACTGCCGCTCACATGGGTGTTGTCTTTCTGCAGGCTCAGAAGAGATATCCCCAACAGGTGCAACACTCACTTTGATGCCGTGGCTCAGATCAGAGGCGAGGCTTTCTTCTTCAAAGGTAAGCAACTGCTCTCCGGGTAACGGCTGGGTGACCTTTGCCAAGCCAAAGCTGCACCTAGCTCTGCATTACGCGGCTGGGCTCCGTTCATGCAAACATTTCAGTCTACTCTTCTCTTTAAACCTGGTCTCCAGAAGAGGGATGGCTTTGCCAAGACGTCCGGGGCATGGAGTCAGGGTATTGGTTGCAGCACTAGGTTCACATCCAGTAATATTGGGTTTGCTCCAGAGCTGCCTGCTCATTCACGCTGAGGCCACTTTACACCATTGGGGCAGTGTAAAGGGCCCTTAGAACTTTAAGGCCCTCTGTCTACACCCACCTTCAGACCCTACTGGAGCAGTGTCAGAAGGCCTCTGTGTAAATGAGAATCAGGCCACTGGCGCAGAGTGGACCTGTTAGGATCGCACCTGGCTCGAAACTAGTAGGATAGACATGATTTTCGAAAGGATGAAGAAGAGACCTCGAGACGGGCATCAGTGACGATGCAAACATGTAGAGACTTCCAGATGAGTGACTAAGGCTTTGTCTACGCTGCCAATTAAATGACAAAACTTTTGTCATTCACAGGTGCTTAAAAAAAGCCCATCCCCACCCCCGAAAGACAACAGTTTTGCCATGGCAAGTGGCCGTGTAAATGGCTTGTTGTTGGCAGGAGCGCTCTCCTGTCGACAATGCAAATCCTGCTCGTAGGGGGCAGGAGTATTTTGTCGGCAAAAGCACCAACAAACAGCGTTTACAGTGCACGACTTTTAGCGACTCGGCCATATCGCTAAAAGCTGTGTAGTGTAGACAAAGTCTAAATGAGGCCTGCTTGTTTCAGAAAGAAGGTGAATGAGGGTCGTGGTAGAGATATACACAATACTGAATGGTAAATCAGGCACTTCTGCTTACCCAAGAATGAAGGGGAAATCCAGTGAAATTAAGAGACAATAAATTTAAACTGACACATAATTAAACTATGGAATTCACTGCGGCTAGAAGCTAAAGAGGCAAAAAATTGAATAGGATTCTAATGAATGATTAGGATTATATGTAAACTGTAAGAACATCTGCAATTACACTAATTGGATGGTAAGGCCCTCAGGACACCAGCCAATCACTGACTGCGTGGAGCTCAGAAGAAACTTCCATTTTCTCCTCACTTCATCCTGCCCCCAGTCATGGTTTTGCATAACTGCCCATTATGGGGTTTTTACACTTTGCTCTGAACCAGCTCTCAGTGGCCACGGTTAGAGACAGGATATCATCAATGTCTGCTCTGCCACTATTTGAGCTCTTCAACCAGACTCTCCGGGATTTCAAAGTGACGAGCTGAAATTGATATTTGCAGTATCAGAGTACAAATCTGGGTCCATCTAAGGATTGAGAGAACAGCCGCAGATCACTTTGACTTTTGTCCTGAATGCCTTCGACTTCCCTTTCCTCCCATGCTTCACGTTCCTGGTTCCACATGCTGTGCATGCGCCATCATCCAAAGACAACAGCACACGCACAGAGTTACAGCACCATCTGGTTCCATGTTTACTGAACAGTGTATCTCCAGGGGTGACAGGCTGTCTAAGAGAATCCTGCCAGTGCCGCCTCAGCTGTACAGAGTCCTTCTCTGCCTGGCCTCCTTGAGGTTTCTTTGCATTCGAGGTGGAAAGGTCCCCGACTGAGGCCACGGTGATGCATGGCTTCCTTGGCAATCGTTTGTCCAGAACTGACCCAACTGATTTCCTAGGGGAGAAAAAAGGCATCTCCTCTCTGAGGTGATAAACAGAAACCAGGAGAGTTTATGGCATCTCCATTGAAACGTCACTACCAGATAGAAGGAGGGAGAGCGTCCAAAGAGGGAATGAACAAAAGCATTTGAAGATGTCTGTGCCGCTGAGGCAGCACAAGGCAAAAGATGATGTTCGCCTCGCGAGGCCCTCTCTGCAGCCGTCTTTTTCTTTCTCACTCCTGCATACAGCTGCTGGCTCCAAAGAGCCTGCAAGGAAGAAAGGGGGTTAGGAGAGGAGAACTAGAACGAAAAACCAAGAGAGAAATCCTCCTCATGGTTTGTTTCTGGCATATATTTGCACATGTGTGTGTTTCTTCTGGAGAAGCAAGGGCAGAGTTAAAGGGCCAGATCCTTGGCTGGTAGAAATCTGTATTGACCTGGCAAACTGATGCCAATGGAGCCTCAGCTGGTGTAAATCTCCATAGCTTCAGTGATGTCAACAGGCAGATCTGGGGTAAACTGGCATAACTCCATTGACTTCAATTTACCTTAGCTAAGGATCTGGCTCAAAAGCTCTAGATTGGACTGAGGTAATTAATTATCACCTCTTGTGTGGCAGTTCCCAGCATGCTGAGGCAATAACTTGTCAGAACCGCATACAGAATGCCACCAAATGGTAATGTGAAACCTGAAGGAACACGACACAGAGGGCAGCTTTCTATGCAGACCCTCCAACCGATGCAGTTCACATACAGACTGCACCGTCAGTTACCCAGAGCTCCTGTGGACTTTGGTGGAATTGCAGAGTTTCAGAACTTCTGAAAATCGGGCCACTTTGATTTAGGAACCTCACTTTAGGCAACCCAAGTTTTAAACTTTCTCCCATTTATATAGCGTGTACAGAAATGTTGCCAGAGGTATCCCGCATGCTGAGAGCATTTCCCAGCTGGAATCAAAACCACCAAATATCAGAAAAAACAAAATGCCTCTGCCCACGTGAACGGGGACTTCCCATGATCTCTGTGAATTAGGGGAGGTCAGGAAGGCCCATCTTAACCTTGGTTTTCATCGTTACATTTCAACCTGCCAGGCTTGGGCTGGCCTTTATCAGGCTCACTCACCATAAATGAAATCATTTCACTCTGTACACTAATTACAGTTCTTGTCCAGGATGGCCTGGAGATAGTCAGGGTAAATACGGCGCTTTGGCAGGCAGACCTGGCCACGGTGAGGCGATAGCATGAGCTTCGTGGGCAAATGGGAGCTATTGCATTCGGAATTCACTGCTACCGAAATTGCTATGTTTCTGCTGCTCCCGACAGCCTCTTGGAAATCAGCTTATTCCCGACTTTGAATTCGGACTGAAAACTGGCTTCTTGTAACTGCACACCTGCTGGGTGCATCAACAGAGAAAGAGTGCTGCTAAGTGCTGGTGGGGTTTCTCCAGTTATGTCAAATTAGCACCGAGCGCTTTTAACTTTAGATACGTTCCTATTAGCAAAGCAATTATGCCAAGCAGTATTTCTTCTGAAAACGGTGAAAATCTGGCATTTTCCAGTGCAAGCCTAATTAGAGATGCAAAGAACATCTTCATTTAATTACGTGTTTCCATAAATCTACAATAGCCACACAGTTTGAAGACTAGATTTGTAATGATCTTAAAAGAATTTGTAATTACTGCCATTCCTAACAGTAGAATATATTATTCAGACATAGATTTTAGTCATATAAAGCAAATAGGCAAAATGCAGCAGAAGAATAAGTATGTGATATAAATCCTTATAATTGTAATAAAAAAATCCCCTCTCTGCAGATGTTTAAGTGTTGGAGTTTTGCCTCCTGCATTATTAGGCTAAGATCCAATTTCCATAAAATTTTGAAAGTTGGTGTGTCAGTCTGCCAACTCTGTAGAAGTGTAGCTGAATGTCTTGAATACAAATCAGAAGAAACATCTTGGGCCTGTTGCTCATTTCCCAGGGGGATCCCTGCTATGCTGAAAGGGATATGCATAACCTCACAACAATAGCTTCTTGGGAATGGGGGTACTAGAGAGGAGACTGAGGGGAGATAGGGAAGGTACTCAGCCTGCTTCCTCCAGCTCAGAACTCATGCTATAGAGATCCCAGGGGAATATGTATTCATGGAATGTGCTGCAAAACCACAGAAATTCAGGTGGAAAGTTCCAAAGTGCCTAAGGGAATTAGGTACCCAACTCCCATTGAATGGGATTTGGTAACCTAACTGCCTGGTACACCTTTGAATATCCCAGCCTTAAACTTGTACCCCACAGCAAACATTGATCTTCCCCTCCCATCACAACCAATGTGATTTCTTGCTGAGCCCCAATTCCTAGGGCTGACATAGATGGGTGCAGCTGAGGTTGCTGGCGCTGTGCTCCTTTACATCAGCAGAGAATTTGTCTCGTTGTAACATTTCGGGTAAGAAGGAGGCCACTTTCTCAAAACACCTTGGAATGGTGCACAATATACGTCAGCTCTTCCTTTCTTCCTCTATTTTTTCTTTTTTCCTCTCACTCCTCCATTCCTACCCCTTTATAAAAGCTGCTGGATTTCAGATCACCTTTTCCTAGTACACAACAGGGAGGGGATGGTTGCAGAGGGATGTGCAAAATATTCAAACACTTGGAGGTCAGAGCCATAGCAGAGCAATATACAGTGGTAGTCACTGTTTGCTAAAGCAACTGGGGGAGTGGGGAGAGGGAAAAGCTCCAGATACTTCTGTCTCTTCAGAGGCTATCACTTGTTGGGCTAGTCTGTGGTCTGATCTAGCCTGGTTTTAGCTGCCTTAGTACTCTTTGGTCTCAGGTGCTCAGTTGCTGGGTGATAGTGATGCTGGTATTACTGCTGAGGCAGCATATTCAGCCCTGGAGGGAAGGTGGGGAAATATCTCCTGTCTCCCTGCAGAATGTTCTCTGGAGCAGCACGGATGCTCTTACCCGTAAAAGATTCATTTATCAGACAGAAGAATGGTGACTGCAATGCAGAGTCTGGAAGGGAAACGGGAGTGGATTTCTCCTTATGGCTCAGGGTCAGCAATATGGGAGCCATGCAAGGGATGGGGAAAAAAAGAAAGCAAGTAGTTTCATAGTTCCCACCTTATGTACTTTGTTTTCTACTATCCCCTGACTCCACCCACAGCTTTTTCCTCTTAGCAAAGGGGTGTTATGGCCTGGTTCATTAATGTCCAATCTGTATTCATCTAGGCAAGTACTTCTGGAGACTGACTCGCAATAAACACTTGGTCTCCCTCCAGCCAGCTCAGATCCACCGTTTCTGGAGGGGTCTACCTCTCAATATGGACAGTGTGGACGCAGTGTATGAGAGAACCAATGACCACAAGATCGTGTTCTTCAAAGGTAAGAGCAAAAACATCATTAAAGGGATCTCTTGCTGGTATCTGTATCAGTAGCTTTAAACTTCCACTAGTCCTGCAGGCAAGGAGGAACTCGGTGTCATTCAGTGGAATTTGCCATGCTGGACAAGTAAGCCTCAGTGTGGCAGGTGACGTTTCAGAGCCCCAGGTGCATATGCTGAGGTGGTCCACTGAACTCCTGGGTTGGATCATAAGCTGCCATGAACCCATCGTTGCAAGGCTAATACATATTAAGCTGCTAATCCACCCACTCCAAAAGCAACAATTATGTTTGGTAAAAAAAATTCACTTTCTCAAACAGGGCCAGCTGGAGTAGCAAACTACTTTTTCTCTTAAACGTGCTACAATTCCTAAGAATTCGCATCTTCTTTTTCTTTCCCTTTATACTTCATTGAGTGAAGATGGATTTTTAATTCTTCTGTACTCACAGGGCCTACCCTGCGCATCTTGCATGTGAAACAATGTACACTAAGAGCATTCAGTGTTGCTGGAGGCACTTGGAGGAATTTGCTGGCTGTGTGCATCAGTGCCTGAGTGAGGTTGTAGTAGCCAAGCTGTAGAAGGGCCCTACTAGTAGTATTAGCTAAGGGGAGAGTTCCTTTAGCTCAAATGGTTTGGGCGCTGAAGAGCCAGGGTTCTAGCCCTGGTCCCCAGTTGCGTGTGATTTAGCTGAGAACTGTTTTTGTCTGCAGTGCACTGATTCATTACAAAAAGAAAAGGAGGACTTGTGGCACCTTAGAGACTAACAAATTTATTTGAGCATAAGCTTTCGTGAGCTACAGCTCAGTTCATTACAGTATTACAGAAATTCAGTAAACTATGTTCCACCTTAGTGACTAGACATTAGGTTCGGTTCATACCTCTGAAGTGTCCCACCCGGCAGAACTAAATGTACCTCAGGCCTGTTCATTCCTGGTATTATGCCTGCTGCCAGTAGTTGCTCTGTTCGTTTGAATTTAACTAATTAGCAGTTTCCCACACTCCAAACTGTGGCTGTGTCTCCACTGTGTAATTACTGCAGCCAGCACTCAAACTGCGTCTGTGGTGCTTTGTAGGGAGCTGGTCTACTGGATAACTCCAAAAGGAGCAGCTGTGCTAAGCTTCTCTCAGTTGGAAATTGCTTTTTGCCTCTCTAATGTCCCACTTTGAGTGTGGTAAATTATTGATTTTGGAAGTGCTGAATCGTAGAGGTGAGGCTGCAGAAATGGATTATCCTCAGTAATGGATCCCACACGTGTGTCTGCACCCATTAAAGCTTTTAAGGCCTCCCACATGCTGCCGAAGCATTATTTCCTCAAATGGAGGAAATCCAAAATGGCTGCCATGATGTGTTGGATTCCACAAGGACCCCGCCAAACCACACAGCTACTGAAAGAACAATATCAGAGAGGCACACAATCCATAGGTCCAATTATGGATCCTGGGCCGGATTCACAGCTTTGAGCACAGGGCTTGCAGTTTGTACCCTCTGTGCACAGAGGAGCAGCTGCGCTAGAGCATGGACTGTATGGATTCCCCTCCAGGAGAGCAGCCAAATGCTATGGTAATGGAGGCCATATAAGTACCCAAGACAGACAGATCACTCGAGACCCCATGTGCCCTTCCTACCACATGTGCAGGTCTTTCAAATCCAGCTGAATGAATGCACAGAAACGTGGGGGAGTCTCCTACAAAGGTGGTGCGTACGTGCGTGTGTAAAAGTTGAATTACAGACAGAACTTCTCCATTGGCCCTCGAAAGCTGTGTGTGATTTTTTTATTTCTATTAAACAGTTATTGTGTGGAAATCAAAGGGGAAGAGGGTGGGAATTAAATGGCATAACCAGAGATGACTAGCCTCAGACTACGCAGCATAATCAACATGTCTATGTCCTGGGACCTAATGCCTCCAGCAGCAAAATAGCAAAGGCTGGCTGTATCCAAGTGGGAGTTTGACACAAACAGCATTTTCCACAAGAAGCAGATTCTTTGGCAGGTGGTTGTTTTGTAGTTCTCTTTCTGGAGTGCTGTGAATTTGAATCTAGGGATTGTCACAGCAGCAGATCATGGAGTGTAACCTGAAGCAGAATTGATATTTCTACATGTCTATTTCCTCTCCGCAGGAGACAGATACTGGGTGTTCAAAGACAATAACGTGGAGGAAGGATACCCTCGGCCAATTTTGGATTTTGGCTTGCCACCGGGAGGCATCGACGCTGCCTTCTCCTGGGCCCACAATGACAAGACTTATTTCTTTAAGGACCGTCTCTACTGGTGCTATGACAACCATGAGCGGAGGATGGATCCCGGCTATCCTTCAGAGACCACTTTGTGGAAGGGCATTCCAAGCACGTTAGATGACGCAATGAGATGGTCAGATGGTGAGTCGGTGCTCGCTTAGCAGAGTTTTTTGGTTTTGTTTTTTTTTTTTTTAAACCTAAGGCCTTGTCTGCACTTAAAAATGTTGTGGCTTTAAATAGGCCAGCACAGTTAAATTGGAGGCGAAACAAAAGCCTTAGTGCAGGCCCAGTTAGTTATACCAGTATAAAAGCGCTTATAGCCATGTAGCGTATTCTGTCTCAGTAAAGCAAAATAAGCGATACCAATATTAAGTGTCTTATCCCAGTATAGCTCCATCTACAATAGGGCATTCACCAGTATAACTATTCTGGCAAACAAAAATCAGATCCCTTACCAACATAATTATGTCAGTAAAACTTTTTAAGTGTAGACTGGACCTAACGTGCTATTCCAGCAGTGAGGAACCATTATCGCTGGAGTTCTCATGAGACTTTGTGAGTACAGCTATGAAATCTCACCATGATTCCTTAGAAGTTTTTAAGGTCAGGCTTGACAAAGCCCTGGCTGGGATGATTTAGTTGGGATTGGTCCTGCTCTGGGCAGGGGGTTGGACTAGATGGCCTCCAGAGGTCCCTTCCAACTCTGTTATTCTATGATTCTATGATGCAGTTTTACTCAAGGGAGACAGAGATGTCATCACAAGAATCTTGTGATCAGTCTTGCAAGATGTTGCTCAGTAACTGGACATGTGTCACTGCTTGATGTGTAAAGCATGTCTAATAAGTAGCAAATGCCAGGATGTAGGCAAGTCCGGGTTCTGTATTGCACCGGCCAGGGGCTGCAATATGTCTGACAGCAAACATGCCACCTTGGGTTGTGACTGGATGAAATAAGCAGAGTTGGGCAAGCTCATTTCTTGGGTGGGAGACGTCAGAGGTAAACCCCAGGAAGATATGTTGAGGACACTCTTCTCTCTGTCAAAACCGTGCTATACACATACATTAATATCAATACCAACCAATGCTCCACATCATATTAAGGGACATGCAGCTTTGGACATAACAATAAATTCCTGATCACTCTGGGCATCTCGGGGCATTTTTGCAAAAGTGGAGCATGTGTTCCAGCATCCTAGACAAATTCCAGTGAAGGTAACTCTGTTCTGCTACCCCATTCCCCTGGTGCTTTGATAGGATAGGAGATTCTTTACATTTTTTGTCTTTAAAGTGTTGCAGCACTGCCAATCTGGGGTATGTCTACACTCCACAATGAGGGTGTGACGCTCAGCTCCAGGAGACGTACCCACGCTAGCTCTCATCCAGCTAATGTGTTAAAAATAGAATGTAGGATGGCAGTGTGAGCTGTAGGGCAGGCTAGCTGCACCAAGTACATGCCCGTCTGAGGCCCTAAGGGAGAGGAATTGTTTAGCATAGGACAACAAATTATAACTAGGAGTACCAGGATGAATTTAATTCTACGAATAATGAGATTAAATTCCCAAGGCAAGCAGTATACACATCCTCCACTGCACTCTGTTTTTTTCAGTATGGCAGCCATCCACCTCTAAAGACAATGAACACCAAGGCAGATCAGTTACTGTGTGTCAGGCTGCATATATATGATAGAAGTGGCATTGATACTTGTCTAATACCAAATAGGTTTTATTGATCTATTATTTGCTGTGAACATTATTCTTTTCCTTGAAGTCTTCAAAATTATTTCCCATCCTACATGTGCTCTGCAAAGATACCATGTTCTGGATTTCTGCCTTTGTTATTCATTATCGTTTTACATTCCTATTACTAGCCGTTTGTACTAACTGTAGTGAGAGACAGTTCCTGCCCTAAGAAACAGACAACCAAAGGCCCTAGTCCTGCCAGTTGCCCTACAGAAATCAGTGGGGTTCCTACAGACAAAAGGGTCATTTAGAGTAGCTTGTAGGACTGGGGCCTCCTAAGGTGGTTGATTAGGGCATTGGCAATAGTCTGTCCTGTTTTGGCAGTAGTCTGGCTTGAGCCGTATCATGTGGTGGGTTGGATATGGATATGGATTTTGTCTTGTGCCATATTTGTTGAAATTTGAGTTGGAAAAAAATAAGTCAATAAGATATAAAGAGTTTTTTGGTTTTTTAAGTAAATGTTTGGCAGGGGATCAGGAAGCTCCTTCTAGGGAATGAGATTTATTGGTGTGGGGCCTGATCTCCCTGGGGAAGGGGCGGGAAGTTCCGTTAGTGGAGACATGTAAAACCATCCATTCCCTCCAGCACAAACACTACTTACAAGAAAGTGGCACTTCCCGGTTTGATTTAGATGTCAAACTAACAACGTAATAGCGACCTGGGAAGAGGGACATCTCCAGGGGCTTATCGGGCTGAACCTTGGAAGCTTTTGAGCGTACCCCATCACTCCCGTTGGCAGGTATCCTTAACAAGGATGGAGCAAGTTCAGGGAATTTAAAATGTACCTGTTCGTGGGTGAAATTTACCCTGGACAAGAGGTCTGTGTGCAATCCACACACCTCCTGGGTGTGGTGTTCTGTCCCATCTAGTGGCACCAAGACCACCTAGAGAGAGATTAATGAGTCTGCTCTACAGCCTTAGCTAGGGGCCATATGGCTTTTAGCTCATGCAGTAGAGGCTCATGCATTTAGCTCCAGAGATCCCAGGTTCGATCCTGCCCACTGACGACCGGGGTCTGTCCGTGTTACATGTGCAAGGCCCTATGAACCACTTAACCCTTTAACATGGGACTTAAATGATGCATAAGACATTGTGGGAGGCCTCAATGCTGAGGTGTTTTGGAAACGTCTGGCTAGCAGAAGCACAGTATATTGTAGGAGTTTCTCTTCCCAGGCCCCTTGTGGGTTAAAGGCCTTGAGGTTATCTCTTTAAGAATACGCCAGAGGCATCCCAAAACCCCCAGTATATTTTCTCTGGGCACATCAACATATAGGCCCTTCTGTCAAGATAGACATATGAGGCCTTGCCCATCTTCCTCCTCCACCATCACTGGGCCATTGGCACCATGGCTGGTGCGTCGTGTGTATGGCAGACCCCCCCTGACTTGTCCACTGTAGTAGCATAGGCCTAAAGCTACCCCCGGGAACAAACAGATGGCACCATGTCCCTGCCTACTGTGCTGGCATGAACAGGTGCAAGTGGACAAAAACTCCATTACTCCTGGTGGACTTGCACCTGCTCCCATCAGCTCAGGGCGTTTCCGTTACTGGGATGTCCAGCTGGGTGGGAGCACCCCTTTGCTGCCATGGCGACACCTGCACGCAAGAGACTAGTGATGGAGAGCCCGCCCAGCGCTCATGCAGGCTAACCCTGCATGTCTTTTTTTTTTTTTTTTTCCAGGTGCAACCTATTTCTTCAGGGGCAAGGAGTACTGGAAAGTGTCGGACAATGACCTGGAAGCAGAACCCGGTTACCCTCAGTCCATCGCCAGAGACTGGCTGGTGTGCGGTGACATGCAGTCTGATTCTCCAGACTCGGCAGGGCGCAGCAGGACTGGGGCGCGCTCCAAGCAAGGGCAGCACGACGAGAGCCGTTCGGAAAACGGCTACGAGGTCTGCTCATGCACCTCCTCCTCAGATTCCCTCTCGGCCCGCCCGGCACTCAGACTCTCCGCAAGCCTTGTCCTAGCGAGCCTGTGGATGGCAGCAGTGGCTTGCGCAGCACTATGACATCCAGTAACATGGACAAGAAGATGTTACGGTGCTTCAGGGACTGGTGGTGGGAAAAAATCACACCATGCTACACTGTTACCGCCGAAACAAACGTTCCTAGGAACATGGCAACGAAGGTTTCAAGTTCTCCATGGGAAGTGAACTGGGTTTATTTTTATTTTTTAGTTAAAGGTCTAATAATGGACTGTGGGTTCTGCACCTTCTTCTTCCCCCAACCAGCTAAAGAATAAAGACATTGCTGAATATTAGTTACAAAGGTTTTGTAGAGATGTAACACTCGGGGTGTGTAAGAACTGCCAAGTAGAGAAGGCATGGATACATTGAAAGGCCACTCTGGTTTCTTGAAAACAGACCAGATAGTGGTGAAACCCAGTTGTTATTCCAGGAACAAAAGCAGCCTCGGTGTAAGGCAATGGGAAAGATGCAACAGCTGTGCTGACATTCAGTAATGTAATATATGCATCCAAGTGGATGTATGAGATAGAATGGCATCTTGATGGCACTGGGCTTGATTGCAAAGTGGTACATTTCACAAACAAATCTATGCTGCCAACTGATGTCAAGCTAACCCACGCCAGTTTCTATAGATCAGAAACATATTTGCCTTTATGAAGGACGTGAAGGTCACCTTTGATTCCAGATGTTTAAATTTAAGGGCTTCTCTGTTAAACCTTGGCCACACAAACATAGATACCATGGTCAACAGCAGGTATCGATTCCCCCTGTCTTCAGCAAACGCCTTGACTGCTTGAGCTAGAGTAGCTCTTTGATCTCGGAGCAAGTAGCAGGCTGTTACAAGCACTGAGTGCAGTCGTTCAGCTGAGATGCAGTGACACACATGAAGCCAGTGTAATCCACATGCATCTAACTTTTCTGCGCCCCTAAATTCTATTCTAGATGTATTTTGTGATTGATCGCTGCATACAAAAATCACATTCGTTTAAGGCTTCCTTTCAAGGATTTGTGAGGGACTAAATTTTGAATTGTGGATGCACGCGCCAGTTTTAGACGTATTTTCAAATAACAGGTTCTGCTTTTTGGCTGGCTTCTTATATCAGCCAGATGCCATTATGATACCATCAGTTGTGAATCAGTTATTCTGTATGCCACTGTCACTGTTTAATTTGGCACCAATACACTAAAGGAGAACGAAGGGGATTAATTGTTTTAAAGTGGGGATCTTGCTCCATAAAAATGACGTCACAAAATTCCATGTTTGTCTCTCCTTCGCTTACAGATCCAGTTTGCTCAGTTCACAAGTAAAAGGATGGTTTTCTAACTGTCCCCACATGGGTCCAGAGAGTCAAGCTGGGTTCTGTCTGGCTCCTGGACCAACACCTGCCCCTCCTGACTCAGCGGAGGTGAACTACAGCTGTACATATGTGTAGCTTCTGTGGTTGGTTGAAATGTTTTAAATTTCACACTTTCCGTCAAAAATGTTTGAATTTTGAGCAAAAAAAGAGAGGGAAAGATGTTCAGTGAAATTTTCACAAAACTTCTCTCCCCGCTTCCCCCCACTCCCATATTGTAAACAATTACTGTACAGGTAAATAACCCCTTCTTCCTGGTGGTGATAGGTGAGCAAGAAGGAGCCAGCTTAACTCTCAGATCCAAGGAGAACTTGAAGGGCAACTGGATTTTTAAAAAATCCTTTAAACTGTAAACTGAGCAACTTTGGTGTGGAATTCCACTGCTTGAAAACCCCGCAAAATTGTGATCAACTATTTCACTGGGGGGAAGTGGGGGTTGGGATCAAAATTTAATTTTCAAGCAAAAACAATGTGTTAAAAATTAGAAATTTTCCACTGGCCCTAAGTCTGGAGCCAGTGAAAGACAGTCAACATGGAACCCTGCAATGTTGATTTTCAGAGTAGAACACTTTTAAGGGAGCCATTTTCAAAAGTGCTGAGCCCTGGCCTAACTCTGTTCCCACTGACGTCAACATTGAAAATTGCTCTTGAAAATCCACCTAGGAGTCTTTTTAAAGATATTTCTTGGAAGAGACTCGTTTAAAAAAAAAAAAAAAAAAGAGCAGCTCTAGTTTCTTCTAACTTCCAGATGGATTTAAATGATGAGAGAAACATCTCTTCCAACGTCTTTTAATCATTGGCCTTTCTCTCTCCCACTTCCCATGTGGATCACGCTGACAAGTAACTTCTCTTCATACTAGCCACTATGGTGGCACTGAACAGGCTGGTGTCTTTCGGTGGCCTAACGGGAAGCTGGATAAGGAATCTAAATGGTGACTTGCACACACTTGGTGCCATTTTGGGGTGAGTGGGTGGGTGTGGTGTTAAATGGGTTATATTAACTCTTTCAGTGCTTCAGGGAATGGTGTGGCTTGCAGGGAGCAGTGTCCACATGGCTGCACCAGATCGTTTAGTTTTTGGTGGTTTTACTGGGGTAAGTCCCTCACCAAAGGCTCTTCAGCAGAGTAGGCAGTCACAGGATAAGAGGAAAGATCCTCTCATGGATCAGTAACTGGTTAAAAGATAGGAAACAGAAGGTAGGAATAAATGGTCGGTTTTCACAGAGGAGAGAGGTAAATAGTGGGGTCTCCCCAAGGATCTGTACTGGGACCTGTTGCTGTTCAACATATTCATAAATGATCTGGAAAAAGGGGGTAAACAATGAGGCGGCAAAGTCTGCAGATGATACAAAGGTTTCAGAGTAACAGCCGTGTTAGTCTGTATTCGCAAAAAGAAAAGGAGGACTTGTGGCACCTTAGAGACTAACCAGTTTATTTGAACATAAGCTTTCGTGAGCTACAGCTCACTCCATCGGCTCACGAAAGCTTATGTTCAAATAAATTGGTTAGTCTCTAAGGTGCCACAAGTACTCCTTTTCTTTTAGACGATACAAAGTTATTCAAGGTAGTTCAGTCCAAACCCAACTGTGAAGAGCTGCAACGGGATCTCACAAAACCGAGTGAGTGGGCAACCAACTTGCAGATGAAATTCAATATTGATAAGTGCAAAGTAATGCACAATGGAAAACACATTCCCAACTGTCCATACAAAATGATAGGGAGCTAAATGAACTGTTACCATTCAAGACAGATCTTGGAGTCATTGTGGATAGTTCTCTGAAAACATCCACTTGATCTTCAGGAGTAGTCAAAAAAGCTTGGAAAAGGGATAGATAATAAAATAGAAACGATTATAATGCTGCTGTATAAATCCATGGTACACCCACACCTTGAATACTGTGTGCAGTTCTGGTCACCCCATCGCAAAAGAGAGATATTCAAATCGGAAAAGGTGTTGAGATGGGCAACAGAAATTATTAGAGGGGTGGAACAACTTCCATGCAAGATTGGGACTCTTCAGCTTAGAAAAGAGATGACTGTGGGGAATGATAGAGGCCTATAAAGTCATCACTGATATGCAGAAAGCGAATAAGGAGGTGCTATTTGCCCCTTCAGGTAACACAAGAACTAAGGATGACACGATTAAATTAACAGGCTGCAGGTTTAAAACAACAACTTCTTCACACAACGCACAGTCAACCTGTGGAACTCATTGCCAGGGTATGTTGTGAAGGCCAGAAGTATAACGGAGTTCAAAAAAGAATTAGAAAACTTCATGGAGGATAGGTCCATCAATGGCTATTAGCCAAGTTGGTCAGGGATGCAAACCCCTGTTCTGGGTGTCTCTAAGCCTCCGACTGTCAGAAGCATCTGCAACTGGCCATCAGAGACAGGATCCTGGGCTACATGGGCCATGGGTCTGACCCAGTATGACCATTCTTATGTTATTAAGTCCATTTCCCTGGGTGTTCACTAAGCACCTGAGAGCATCTAAAGGGACTGAATTAGATCCAGAGCCGGTAAACCATTCCACACTCAAGGAGCTGTCAAAAGGGCGGCGCTACTGTTCATGGACCCTAAAGGTCTGGGTTTGCCAGTAGCTGCTGGTACATTTGTTCTGTTTCTCTGCCACAAAAATCACCCCCTCCATTCTCCCCAAATGCCAGGCCTCCGTTAATAGCATGACACAGGGACTCGGAAGCAGGCTGCAGCATCCGTTTGGACTCATATTGTAACACTTTATCTTTGCAACGTTGCTGCTGCTCTGGTCCTATTCCAGTCTGGGGCTGCTGCAGAAGGAGAACAAAAAAAAAAAAAATCCTTGATCAGAACAGACGAGCAGGTAATATGGGCTGGAAATCGTAATCAACAAGCTTGGGAGGCTCTGGGAGGGCTGCTTCTGCTGGAGACCCACAATAAAAGAGGAAGCCGTACTTGACAAGGCCCATTTCCTTCGCAGCAGGAGGCTCCTTTGGTTCACTTGAGCCACAGCCCCGAAGCCACTTGGTTTTTTATCTTGCTGGGCACTGACGGGCCATTGATTTCTAAATTACCAACCACATTTGTTTGGAAAGTGCCAGCCCCATTAGTCTGCACCTCCTGTGATTAGCTGGTGGCTAGTGCTACAGCAAGGCTCATGTAGAGCCTAACTGTATAGAACTGCTGGTGGGTCACCATCACAAAGATCTTATCTTTGCTGGGAGGAGACCTGCTGGTTTGCAGACTTCCTTCAGCTAGCATTGCTATTCTCCCTCAACCCTCCACCCCCCCGCCCTTGGGGCTGGATGCAAGTACCATTGGAAGATCGATGGGAGTCTTGGATCAGACTCCCATGGAGCGATGTTGAGTGCCTTTTTCTAAAGTGGGAATAGGAATTGCATCCTGACAAAGAAAAGCAAAGCAAATGGTCACCTTGTGTTTGCCCGTCTACCCTTTGCATTTTTAAGTATTCACAGTGATTTGCAAACTGGACAGTTTTTTGGACATTATAATGCAGTGTGATTTTACGGGACATTGAATGTGAACACGTTTCATGGAAACCTCCTGTTAAACCATTAAATGTCCTTTTTAAAAATGTGTGTGTGGGGTCCCTCTGTCAGATAAGGTCATCTCTGAAATGTCATTCCTTAGGAAGGAACTCTCCCCTCAGATGGATTCTGCACCATCTCTCTCTGTGGGACTGTGCTAAAGCCCACAGGTTCTCATAGATTCTTCTTCAAGTGATCATCCCTGTGACGGGTTGCCCCCCACTGTAGGGTGCCACCTGGTGATTTGGGGTACCACTGAGCCTGCCTGTTCCACCAGCCTGGGCTTCCTTACCCTGTCCTGCTGAGCCAGGCCCTCAAGCCTCCCCCAGCACACATGCAGGTAGCAACCTGGAGGGGGGGGAACCCATCACAGTGGCCTAGTTGGCAGGACAGTGTAAGGGAGCCCAGGCTG